CGTCAGCCTAGCTCACAGAAACCTCAAACTCCTGGGCTCAAGCCATCCTACTGCCTCAGCCTCCCGAGTAGCTGAGACTACAGGCATGTGCCACTATGTCTAGCGCTCTCTCTCTCTCTCTCTCTTCTCTCTCTCTCTCTCTCTATATAATATATATAATACATTATATATATTGTTAAGTTGTCCAGCTAATCTCTTTCTATTTTTTTTTAGTAGAGACGGGGTCTTGCTCTTGCTCAGGCTGGTCTTGAACTCCTGAGCTCAAACGATCTGCCTGCCTAGGCCTCCCAGAGTGCTAGGATTACAGGTGTGAGCCACCATGCCCAGCCCAGAGTATTAATAGATATATGGAAAATAAAGAAAATTTATCCTTAAAAAAAATTACTTAACCTGCTGTGATTCTCAGACTTACTTGCATGTTGTCATTACCTGGGGAGATTTAAAATATGTTGATGCCTAAGTCCCACCTTGGGAGATTCTTATTTAATTGATTTGGATTGGTTGTCTCTCTTTGTGTGATATTAGCAGTCTCTAGTAATGACTGCTGAGATCCATTAATTCATTAGGAACTGTAGGTGGTAATCTTGTTAACATCTCTGAGCTTGTATTTTTTCATACACAATATGAAAGGGTTAGACTACATTATCTGTAAGCATCCTTCCAACTGGGACACTCTATGCTACTATGGGAAATACTCTATTTAGAGATTTGTTTGGAAACATTTACCGTTTCTTCCTGGTGATTTACTGGTGTGTAAGTATGTGCGTGTATGCGTGTGTGTGATGCTTGATAATCTCCAACATAAGCAAAGGCATTCATTTTTATTGTAGAGAAACCATGATGGTAAATCAGACTTCTATAAAGAGTCATCAAGCCCTCCACTCCCACATGTGGCAGGCATGTTAGGAGAAACAATAGCATACTTCTTGCAAAGCCTATTAAGGAAGAGGGCTCTGAAACTAACCAACCTTCCTTCCTTCCTTCCTTCCTTCCTTCCTTCCTTCCTTCCTTCCTTCCTTCCTTCCTTCCTTCCTTCCTTCCTTCCTTCCTTCCTTCCTTCCCACCCTTCCTCCCTTCCTCCCTTCCTTCCTTCCTTCCTCTCTTCCTCATCTACAGGCGCGTGTCAGTGATGCCCGGCTAATTTTTCTATTTTTGGTAGAGATGGGGGGGTCTCATTCTTGCTGAAGCTGGTCTCAAACTCCTGACCTCAAGGGATCCTCCCACCTCGGCATCCCAGAGTGCTACGATTACAGGGGTTTTCAAAACTGTTACTTATTATTTTATTTATTTATTAATTACCTAGAACATTGAGAAACATCAGCAAACTATAGCGAGTAACTCTTTTTGAAGCAGCTAGATACTGTATGTTGTTTTATCAGTCTCCAATTAGTTCAGTATTCAATATTTTTGTTTTTTATCTGAATAAACAATAAATCCAGGCAGCTATTTAGAAGTATGGTACATTTGAATGAAATTAAATTCTAGAGCACAGAAGCCAAACTTGTTCATTCTATCATTAAAAGATAATATAGCTGAGTTGAATGAACCCATTTAGGGATGAATTTCTGCCCAAGGAAAACTACAGAGTTATTCCTCACAAGCAGATTTCACTGCCCCCACACAATCAGACAGATTGGGGAATCAGATAACATTTTACTGCACTTATCATTGTGAATTACAAAGCCTTTGAAAGATCCAATTATCCATTTAGATGACCAAAGAAACATATCTTCTAGGGCAAATAAACCGTTTTGTAGAAAAAGTTATTACATGTAACACATGGTTGTTTTTAAATCCCAGTTCTATAACTTACCATAAGATGAAAGCAATCACCTCATATATATTACTTTTTAAGTAATATATCAAAAAGTATAAAGTGCTTATAAGTATAAAATGCCTGGCCTATAGCAAATGCTCAATATGTGTTAGCATTTATCATTCCAGAGATGATTTGTGCGGCCATTCTTGCAGTCATTACTAAACATTCATTACTTCTGAGTCTTTTGTTTAAATCTTTTTAAGAAAATTGTTTTTTTTTTTTGACCTTGTCAATTATGTTACAAAGTGGATTATGTGAGAACACTGTAGTTCTTGTTAATTTTTAAAATTCCTGGTTTCACCATGCTAGATGTCTAGTATTCAACAGTACTTGGTGATAGGTTTTATTGATGTGTTAATAGTTTTAAATAGATGGATAGTGCAAACAAAGTGAAAATGATCTTGGTAATACCAGAACCCAAAAGCTGGGAGTGAGCATGGGCACTGAGCACTGGGCAAAGTCTACAGAAAAACTTTTATTAATGAGGAACCAGATAACCAGGGCCTTATATGTGCAGGACTCTACCTGTCCTTCTGTATTACACTGGATCTCACTAAGCATAAGTTTATGTTTAGGCTGTGAAAAATGAAGAAGACCTGAAAAACAACAGCCTTAGAAGGGAGAAGGCCATGAGGTAATCTTATGAATATACTAAAGGATCAGCAATATAATCATTATGACCTAACTGTGCCGGCTGAATGACAGATCTCTTTGTTTATTTCACTGAATGGTAATTTTAGGAATGATTATCTGCTTAGCAATACTTGTTCTTCTTGATATCCCTTTTCTCTTTTTATTAATCACCACCTTTGGGAATGATTTAGGGGTAGTTGAAACCAACTAGCCTGAGTTGAAGAGTTCCTGTATTGCCCACACCATCTTGTTTCTCAAGGCTGTCTTTGCTTTTGGTTAATGAGAAAGCATATGGTTGCCATTTCCTTTCTGAGAACTACTGAGTGAGTAGGGAAGGAAATAGATGTTCAGCTGAGTTATGTCCTGTGGGGGAAGGGAAGGGCTGGGTCACTGCTCTAAGCACCAGTATCTGCTTTTGTGGGGCTTTGTTTCCTAAGTGTCTTGTTCCCCTTTATAAAATGTCAATATAACTAGTCTGAGCAGCGCTCCCTAATCCCCTTTCTGGGGACAAATGACTCAGAATTCAGAGAGTGGCTAACTACTTTCTTTACCCAAACTCTTGGCCACAACTCTGCTCAAAGTTCTTAATTGCTTTCCTATCTATTCTTAATATTTTGAAGATGTTGTCAAACCTTAAAAAGATAGACTGATTTAAATATTGTTTCTGTGAGAATGTTTGCCAGCATTAGAAAATACAGCTTTGAGGCAATCCATTTGAAGTGTCAAGTTCCATCACACAACCATGGTAATCAGAGCTTCTGATCTGGACTGGAGTCTTTGGGAGCCTTGAAGTTGGATGCTGGTTCTACCATTAACTGGCATGTTTCATCATTTGTTTTATTTGATGTTGAAATCATGCTTATATTATTTTACACCACTTTCCATTATGTCAAGATCTTTAGCACTCTGTCTTTATTAATCCATGAAATGGAAACTTCTGCTTCCTTAAGAATGCCTTGAGTGTCTTGCTAATGCTGTGATTATTTTTGAAACTCTTTTTCAAGATCTATAATATATCTGTGCAGATGTTTGGGAAGTGGTGGTTGATCTAAAAATATTTAGGAAATAAGGGGGAAAAATTAATGCTCCTGACACACAAATTCTCTGACACTTTCCAACATTTCTGTTACCATCACTAACAATCAACTAGATGATTCTTTAAAGCCCTACTGTTTTATCTTGCTGCTACTATTTTATTTCTTTAGTCTGATTTTCGATTCTTATAATTCCACCACTGCAATTTAAGTCTAAAAATTAACGTTAGGGTGGAGAGCTCTGGAGCCAAGATTGTCCCTAGATTCAAACCCAGTTTGGCCGTTCTCTAGCTATGTGGCCTTTGGTGATTTCATCATCTGTAAAATGAGCACTCACTCCAGAGTCAATGAAAGAATTAAGTAATCACAGGCTATTATTATTTTTCTTCTCTTTAATACAAAATTGGCAAGGGGAAAATATTGAGTATCTACTATTAATATTTGCTAGGCACTAGTTGGGCAATTTATTTATGATCCCATTTAATCCTTGGTAGGTCAGGGATCATTTCATTTTTCAGATGATTAAATTATGGCTAGCCAGACAGCTTAACCACTTGTACTCAAGGTCACACAACTAGCAAATACTTCGCCCCCAGGTTTGTCTCTAAAGCGCATGCTCTTTTCACTACATGAAATTAAAAAAAAACTTTAAAACTTTATTGATCTTTTTTTTCAATTATGGGTCAGATGTTCCCACAGCTATGTGTATTTTCTTTTGGATGTATAAAAACAAGCTCAAAGTAAAAGAAGAAAAGCAAAATGGGGAAAGGGTGTAGTCTGAGAGGGAAGGGGTAAGGAAAAATGAGGTCTGCAAAGGAATTTAATTGTCTATCTGCTTATATTAGAGTGAAAAGTGGAAGACCAGGTGGGACGTCTTGTATTGCAGTTCTGCCTACTTATAAGTTGCCAGGTGACCTTCAGCAAACTACTTCAACTTTCTGGATCTCAATTTAAGTATGCCCCAAATGAGGCGGTTAAATTGATCTCCCAGTTCCCTTACCGGCTAAAATTCCAGCCTTGCAACCATAGACCCCTTCACCATCCCAGAGGTCTTTTCCTTGGCCCGGTGCCAACCACCCGGGGTGGAACCCTGGTCTTACTCGACTGCACACTTTTTAACGTACCCACTGGGTCCTAAACTGCACCATTCCCCGTGACCCCAGGACTAAAAGGAAAGGGTGGTGGACTTTACGGGGAAAAAACCCAAAGTTGGGCGGCGAAAAGCAGTAGTAGCAACGCGAGGTACCGTAGGGGTGACGCTGCGCCGAGGCGGCCGGAGTGGGAGGAGCGCGGGCGGGGTGGGCGGGGCCGTGAGCGGAATGGAAGGACGAGGGGGCGGGGCCCGCGCTGACAGCCCCAGGGGAGGAGTGAGGGCGTCGTTGGTCCGCTCCCGCCCCTTCTCTTTCCTCCCCCGCGCCAGGAGGGCGTGGCAGCAGGCGTGCAGACGCCGCGTGACGTCATAAGGGGCGGCGCGGCCCAGGGTTCCAGCCGACGTGCGGGCGCATTCGCCAGTCGCTGTTTGGGACGCCGGGTGCGCGGTTGTGCTGTCTCTGCTCTCGTTTCACTGTCACAGCCGTCCCTTCCCGGAGCCCGGGAGAGGCTGGGCGCGCGCCCCTGTGTGTGAGCGGGACTCAGGGCAGAGCTGTCTACTCGTTGCCTTTTTTTTTTTTTTTCTTTTCTCCAAAGAACGGGGCAGTTCGCACGCTGGCCATCCTGTAGCCCAGTTGGGAGCGGGGTTGGTGTGCGGAGTGGTTCGTCTTTTTTTTTTTTTTTTCTTTTAAACTTGTGAGCGCTTTTTTTTCCTTTTGCTTTTTTTTAGGCTCAGTGCCGTCCGGGCTGGTTTCCCGGGCCCTGACTAACCGCTTTCTGCCCCTTCTCTCGCCACCCCCGCCCAAGGTCGCCCCTCCGCCCTCACCCCTGGCCCGAGAGGGTGGGAAGCTTTGTCCCCGCCCTGCCCACCCGTGCGTCTTCGCTGCCGTAGCCGCACCTGCCTCAATATGAATGGGGTCAACGACCCTCCTCTTTTTATAAAAGACATTAAGCCCGGACTGAAAAACTTAAATGTCGTCTTTATTGTCCTGGAGATAGGTAAGTGGGGGGTCCGCAGCCCACTCCACCGCCCCCTGTGCGCCCCGGCGCGGGAGAGAGGGTGCCGCGGCCGCGAGCCGGGGGCTTCCCTCCTCCCTTCCCCTCCTCCTCGCCTTCCCCCTCCCCTCTTCCTTCCCCTCCCCCACCCACGTGGCTCCAGTGCCTCCCGCCTGGGCTCAGATCTTACCTGCGGCGAGAACTCCAGGCTTGGCCTGTTCCCACCTTCCTGATGAATTAGAGTATCTGAGGAGGAGTTAGGGAGCTTTCTTGGACGTCCTTATCTAACACAGCACCTCCCCCCCCTTTTGATTTTTAAATCCTCACAGGACGCGTGACCAAAACCAAAGACGGCCATGAAGTGAGATCGTGCAAAGTAGCAGATAAAACGGGCAGCATCACTATTTCCGTGTGGGATGAGATCGGAGGTCTTATACAGCCAGGGGATATTATTCGGTTGACCAGAGGGTAGGTGTGCATAAAAGGGTGTTGGAAGAGAAGGTTGGAACAGCCTGCAGAATCGGGCTTGGCTGACTCCCGGGATCTTGTCAAGTTCTGGAGTTCCGTGTCTCTTCTGTGAGCCACTCGAGGAGTTTGGAGCTGCTTTGGTGTTAAATTTCAATGGTGGGCAGCACTGGGATGTAACACACCTTTGCAGTTATAAAGGCAGTCAATTTCAGGCTTTTGTAATGCTCCCCGCCATCTCACCACCGCCACCACCAAGTTCACAGGTCCAGTGTAGTTTTAAATGCTATTCTGGGAGTCACTGAGTCTTTTAGTAGATTGATGACAGTCCACATTTTCTGTTTTCCTAAGTTATTTAATTCAGCGGAGTTGTCACTCAGTTTTCAGCCCCTCACTTTTTTAAGGACTTGAAATACTGGCCAATATTTTACATATGTTATTTAGATGATGTGGACATAAATTAAAATCGTAGTTGGGGAATTTATCATTTTCTGTGGTATGTAAAATTTGCACTGAAAAAATTTAAGAGGGTAAGTTTATGATATCTGGAAGGCTCATTCTCAAAACTTTCTTTGCCTTCCGCATTTAGCATAACTTTTTTTTTTTTGATAAGATGTTTTCAAAAACTTACTAAAACTTTAGCTTAGGAAGATAAAAGGTCAGAACAGGATCTTGAAAACAGAATTTGGGTGGGGCATGGTGGACTGTAATCCTAGCACTTTGAGAGGTAGAGGAGAAAGGATCGCTTGAGCTCAGGATTTCAAGACCAGCCTGAGCAGGAGTGAGACCCTGTCTCTACTAAGAATAAAAATAAATTAGATTGATAACTAAAAATAGAAAACAAAATTAGCCCATGGTGGCAGGTGCCTGTAGTCCCAGTTACTCTGGAGGCTGAAGCAGGAGGATTGCTTGAGCCAGGAGTTTGAGTTTGCTGTGAGTTACGATGACACCTAGCACTGTAGCCTAGCGGACAGAGTGACTCTGTCTCAAAAAAAAAAAAAAAAAGGGAAATAGAATTTGGAAGCTTTGGTGATCAATAGAATTGTAATTTGTCAATCATAACTACAGGAAGAGTAGGTGGAGATTGATCCTGGCCTAATAAATATAATCTCAGAGGAGTATTGGAGAGCCCTGAGTGTAGGAGCTTAGAGCTCTTTGATATTATCTTACAGCTCTTACAACACCTTCAGGAAGTGAGGTTATCACAGCAGGAAGTGAGAGTCAGGACTTAGATGTTTTATTCTCATACACTGACTCATTATGACACTAATTATCTTTTTTTTTCTTTCTTTTTTTTTTTTTTGAGACTGAATCTCACTCTGTTGCCTGGGATAGAGTGCTGTGGGGTCAGCCTAGCTCACAGCAACCTCAAACTCCTGGGCTCAAGCAATCCTTCTGCCTCAGCCTCCTGAGTAGCTGGGACTACAGGCATGTGCCACCATGCCCTGCTAATTTATATATATATATATTTAGTTGTCCAGCTAATTTCTTTCTGTTTTATTTTTTTGTTTTTGTTTTTAAGTAGAGACAGTCTCACACTTGCTCAGGCTGGTCTCGAACTCCGGAATTCAAATGATCCTCCCGCCTCGGCCTCCCAGAGTACTAAGATTACAGGCATGAGTCACCACGCCCAACATGACACTAATTATGTCTTTTAAATTTTCACATCTTAAAAGGAAATTCCTACATGAAGGGGTGTGGTGAGGATTAGCATAATTAAGTTTCTTGACTCCCAAAATATCTTTCATCCAATGAATAAAAATATTTTATATACTGAAAACAGCATCTCATTTCAAATGTTTCATATTCTGTGGTCACAGTCATAGATGCTTCTATTAAAAGATGGGTTAAAAAATTAAAATCAGTAGCTATGGTGTCTATAGAATGTTAAGGAGAACAATTACCTGGGAGTACAGTTTAAATGAAAATTCAAAACTAAAGAAGCTCTATTTACTACTTTAATGTGACCTTGGGAAGTCACTACACCTCATACTTCAGCTTCCTCTTCTGTAAGATGGGAATGATTATACCTTACTTACTAAAATAACACACTCAGCTTGGAGTCTGGGCCATTGTAAGGCCCTTAAATTTTGTTTGAATCTAAGAAAAGTAGCTTTTGAAGAAAGATGTACCTAACATCTGAATAATAGTTAATTCAGAAAACCCTGAAAACTTGATTTCAGTATTCTCATTTCTTAAACAAGTGGAAGTTAAAATGCTTTAATTTTAACTATGAAAATTTTTTCTCAAAATTTGCATTTTACTTTAGTATGGTGAAATGTTACTGCACTGTCTCCTGTGTCACTCTTTATATAACTTAAGAGTGGTGAATGCAGTCCTTAATAACCCTTATTAAAATGAACTGTCTAATAAGTCATTTAAAAGGGATGCAGTTACCATAGTAGTACAGAGAACTGTTGAAAACCAAACCTTAGATTGATTTAAGACAGATTAGTATTGATTAGTTTACCTTTTTCTTAGATTTGTATCTGGTTTATTTTATTTTTTTGATTGGAGAAATTGTCTTTTGCAAGGGATTATTTTAAAGATACCTGCATTCAAAATTGTTCAGAATAAACAATTTTTCTGCTAGGTTGGTATCAAAAATTGCAAATTTGGAAAGGCAGATTGGTGAATGGTTTGTGACTTTAGTTTTTTAAATCACCTTGATTAAATTCTACCAAATCTTCCATAGCTTGGGAACCCTGTGTCTTTTATGGAGGGGAGAAGAAAAGACAGTGTATCAGAATGTGACTAGACTGTGTAAATGAGCATAAAAGTAAACTAAACACTAGCGTGCAGATTTTATGTATCTGAAAAATAATTTCTGCTTAAATTTCTCCAATTAAAAGTTCTTCCTTTGTTAATTGACTAAAGATATGATCATCTAGGGTATAATCTTTGCAAAAATACTTTTTCTTTTATTTTCTAGAGTTTGTCATAGTTAATTATGTCAAAACTTGGCAGTAGAATTCCTATGTAAGTAGCAAGTTAATCAAAGTTAGATTTATTGTATTTGATTTACTGTGGGTAGAGAGAGGGGTTGATTCTCACTTCTACCTCAGTACAAAAATATACAGTATGAAGATTCACTTGATTTAAATAGAAGAAAATATACATATTTTCAAAGAACTAACATTTCTTTTCTCTTTAGGTATGCATCCATGTGGAAAGGATGTCTGACACTTTATACTGGAAGAGGTGGTGAACTTCAAAAAATTGGGGAGTAAGTATTAAAACCCGCATTTTGTAAAATTACAAATAATGTTTTCTTTGGTAGGTTTAAATTATAAACCTCTTGGCTTTTTTTTTACTAGTAAACTGAATGTCTTTGACAGCTTAACTGAAAAAATAACTTTGCATGTTCTAGTTTAACAGCTATCAATACTGTTTCCTATGGTTGTAAATGTCATTTTTTCCTGGCAAAGAGCAGTAAGAAGCTGCAGTAGAGACCAACCCCAGTGGGACCATTTCTGTAGGCTTTAGAAATGTACATCTTTCAGATGTCACAAGTGCCATTTGAAAGTCCAGTCTCCTAGTGATTTGCCAAATAAGAAGCTAGGTATGAATTTCAGGCCATAAGTTTAAATTTTCTTTTTCTCTGGTTATGGGTGAATGTACTCACATTAAAAGGACTTGCAGCAATGAAAACTGAAGTCCTCTATTTATCCACAGTCTAGGTACGGTGCAGGCAGCCGCAATGCGAGCTTCCGTACACTACCACCCTGGTAATGATCTTCACCCTGACCTGGAGGAACCATCCTCTCTAGGGGTGTAAAGGTAATTCAGCCTCCATACTAGCCTAGACATTTGGGTTGTATGAAAGTATGATGAAGGCAATGAGCTAAATAGTTAGTCCATTCTACTTGGTTAATGCTCAGATAGCTACTTAATGCCCATTGAATTGGAGGATATTTAAAGAGAGAAGCCATAATTGGCACCAAAAAAAAAAAGGGAGAGATTTTGTTCGGAGGATCTTTTTATAATGAAAGGAGAAAAAAAGCAATCATAGTAGCTTTTAAAGATCAGTAACTGGTTTAACACTATGTTTTTGCTAGAAGGAAGATTAGAGTAGTAATATTAGAGTTACGTGTTATGAAAGGTCTTAGTGTCTATAACCAAAAGGTTCAAGATTCTGTTCTGGCCTTCTTGTATACATAAAGAGATATAATAATGGAGGTTAGTGTGAAGAACCACTGGAGGTCACTCAATTCTTAATGACTGCTCTTTGTCAGGGTCAGTCTAGGATTTACCAAAACTGCTTCTAATTTCTTTTTTGTGGGGTGAGGAGCTAAGAAAATACTTATGTGTGATGTTAATTGACACCAAATGTGAATTTATAAGCAACACTGGGGTAAACTGGTGGTTTGATAGCCAGTTTTCTTTCTTTATCATCTATAAACCACTCTTAACCTTGAATGATTGTCTTTGCAGATACACAGTGATTGGTCAAAAGAGGGACTGGATGAGTGTGTGAATGGATCATGCAAATCCATCACCACTGCTGGAGAAACCACTCTGGAACCCTAAACATGGTTCACTGGCATCAGCCTTTGTGGAAAAACAGGACAAAGAAGTGTTTCTGTGTCCTTGATCTTTGACATGATTTATTTTTTGCAGTACAAAAGAAGAATCTTATTATAAAATAGAATGTTTTATGTCTTATAGATAGTCAAATATTTGATGTTTTTTGAGACATAATCATTTAGGAAGTTTCTTTTATAAACGAATACAGTTAACATGTCATGTTAGTTTGACACTAAGGTCTTCATTCCTATAAGTTAGGGATGTTATATAAAGGAAGGTTGATTACTTTATTTTAGAAATCATTTAACTTGTCCTTTATTTTCTTTCAGATTTTGTATGGTTTATTCAGAAGTGCCAAATTTCAGTGAACCCAACCCAGATTATCGAGGACAGCAGAACAAAGGGGTAATTAAAATGTATAATATGTTGTTATGATAAGGCTAATTTTGATTGTCAGAGTGTAATGAAGAGGATTTTTTAAAAATCTTTATAGTAATTATATATATGTTTTGTGAGTCTGTATATTATTAGCCTGTAGCAGCATATACTAGATAATGCGTCATTTAGCACTTTGTGGAGTAATATCAGGAAATGCAATAACATGTAACCAAGGTCTGAAAGGTTTGGGAAAGATTTATGAGTATTTCAATCTTGAATTGACTTGGAGAAATTTTTTAAAAATTTGTTAAAAATTAAGAAACCAAAACTTAAATTGAAAAAACAATGGGTATAGTAATGTTATAATAATATAAATGTGTTATGTTCATTTGGTTAAATTCAAAATTTTTTTTTAGGCACAGAGTGAACAGAAGAATAATTCCATGAATGGTAATATGGGTACAGGTACATTTGGACCAGTGGGTAAGATATTTTTTTTTGCATATTTGTGATCAGGTATAAGAATTAAGAGCTATGAAAGATTTAGAGGAAAAATGTCTTTAGGCATACAGTAGTATTAATGGTAAACTACCAGTAAACAGGGAATTCCCAAATAACTGATATTCTAGATATACTGTTAAACCAATTTATTGAGCACATCTATATTTAAACATTTGGGTCAGTAACTGGGAATACAGTGGTGAACATTTACTAATGATGAAAATTCTAAGTTTTGGTGATGCCTGTGATGAGGTTTCATATTTTTTTCCATTGATCTCTATAAAATTTCTGTAATTTAGTGATTACTTACAATAGATGCAGAATTACTGGTTATTTTTGTGCACTGAAAGTCTTTTATCTTCAGAGTAATAGTTCAGCTTAATTTTTCATATACTGGTAGCCACCTCTTTAAAAGATGAGCCTTTTAAAGGCTAAGCATGATCCTTATATGTACTGTTAATGGTCCTTGCAGCCCTGTTGAAGGTCTTTTGAAGTCTTTTTCTTAAATACCTGAGGAAAAGTCTTTGAGATTTGAATTTATTAGGGTGGCTGATGTTTTATTTGACCTGATGGCTACATGTTTTGGTATAACTGATCATCACATTCTGAGGACGCTTTGCTGTCTTTGCCTTGAAAAAGTTAGAATTACATTGTTTTGAGACATTAATCATATTTGAGCCAAATGCTAATACTCAAATGCAATTTTTTAACTCTTACAATGTAGGTAGTACATGTCTATGTTTTATTTCTATTCTTTCTAATTCTGTTGCCCAAGTGGATTTTTTTCTCTCCATTAATGTAGCAACAAGTTAATATATTTGCAGTAATCATACATTTGTGTTTTATTACCTAGAATCCACATTGGGTACTTTTTTTTTCCCAGTATAAAAATAAAGGTGTATGTTTCCCTTAATATTATTTATAAGCATTAATAGCATGTGTTGGAACTTTTAAATAGGTGTAGTTATATGGATCACAATAGGCCACTTGTGAAAATAGTGATGAATTTTGTATTCTTTTTTAGGAAACGGTGTTCAAAGTGGCTCTGAGTCAAGGGGATGCCACTTTTCATATGCTGGTAGAAGCAATGGCCGAGGACCTATAAATCCACAACTACCAGGAACTGCTAATAATCATACGGTCATGACCACAATAAGTAATGGCAGGGACCCTCGGAGAGCCTTTAAAAGATGACCTATGCCAAATACCCACATGTAGTTTTTAAACTACATGCCCTACTTGAACACTTATTGCACTTTTATTTATTGTTAACTGTGAAAAGTATGTCTTTTATGGTTTCCTCTTATGTTTTTGATTTGTTAAGAAGAGTGGTTTGTTTTTTATAGCAAAACTGTTGAGCTGCTCAAGTCTCCTATTGAAGAATGGGAACACTCTGAAAAGTAGGGGCATTTATTTTTAGAGCAAAAAAGATTGTTGGATAGCCTCTAAAAACCCGGCACCCATTTCGTGGGTGAGTTACTTAAGACATCAGCATTATGGCCTCTATGAGTCTAATTTCTGTATAAGTTTTGTAATATTTAACATAAGGCTTAGTGGAAAGATGTTTTGTTTTGAATTCAGATATTGCCAACTAAAGCAATAACCACCAAAACCCACAAAAACTTGACTAACAATAACAGCAATTTTTGAGTGTTTGTGGCTCCAGGAATGATTGACTTCACTGAGTGACTGCCATTAAGATTTTCCAAGGACTGAATCATCCTAAATTCTTGTTTTATTTTCAGAAGACCAGATTCTTTATCAGAATTATGGAATGTGATCTGTGTTGTAACTAGTAGTTTTTAAAAGAAAGCCAAATTTATTTTAGGGTAGTGCTCTTAACATTTCTTAAACTTTGTGGATTACATTGAAGGAAAATTTAAAACGGAGGCCTTGATTATTTTTCGAAACTACCATGTTAAAATATTATAATCTGAGGGAGTTGTAAAGTCATAATAAACATTGATCTAATTATTTTAAAAATAATTGTGGTAGATAAACACAGTGAAGGTGATTCAAATTGAATTCATGTAATACTATGAAGTCTTAAGTTATAGGTCCTAGGTACTTACAGGTACTCAGCCTGGAGTGAAAATCCTAGGTATTTTATTTGAAGGGTGTGTATATGTGTGTGGTCAAAGTTTCTGAACACAATTCACGTAGCCTTATTAGTAAAAGTTAAGAAATGGCTCTCAGAGAAGCAATTACAGCTTTATTCAGAAGTGTAAAGGTCGAATTATTTGTCATAAATGATACCTATTTCCACTTTTTACTGTCGGGTGGATAACTAGTAAATTTTTGCTTTGTTAGAATTCAGCTCTTCTTTAATATTATCTCTTGAATAAAACTTGCATTAATATTAACCTACCTACCTAATTTTTGCTGTCTTTCAATGACTTAGATGGAGAGCCAGTGTATCTTACTACAGTTGTAGTGGGGCATCAGCCTGGTGGCTGGCTGCTTGGCTCTGCACTTATCACTTTGTTTTTTTCCCCATTTCAAATCACGAAATAATTTAAGTAATACTTTGTTTTCTGAAAGCTCCATAGCATTTGAATAAAAAAAAGTTGTGCCAGATTGTTTGCTCTAATTTAGTGTGTTTAACAAATAATTCAGTACATGCTATGTATTAGGCACTGTGTAGATAGTGTTAAGGGGTACACACAACATTAAATCTCAAGGAGTTTATTTATGGTCCATAGTACTTTTGTAACTGGGGTTTATATATAATAGAAAAAAGTTTTTTCTTTATTCATATATTAGTGATAACTGTTGTTTGGCTTTGTCAGTAATATTTTGTTAAGATTTTCACATTTCAAAATACCTCAAAAGAAGTTGTCTAAGAGTTGGGATAGAGTATATTTCATCAGATTGTAGATATTCAGAACTTAAAATGCAGCAAATTATTAATAGTATATGATTTTTAAATCTAAGGAGCAACAACACTTTAAATTATTTTTGGGAGAATATAGCATAAAGAAGATTTTAAAAGAAAGGATTTTGGAGTTTTAGAAAGTTAAAATACTCTCAGGTATGGGTCACTGGGCTTCTGGTCCTGGCCATCACACTTGTGATGTTGGGCAAGTTATTGACACTTGAAACCTCTCATAAGGCTTAGGCCTTATGTTCTGCAACTATGAAAACAAGTAAGTAATGGTACTTCTCCCTAGAGCTGTTTTTAAGATTTCTATGTAACTAATTAGAATGACTTCTGGCACATAATAAACAGTCAATGTTTGTTGTCTAATCATATACCTCATGCAGGAAAAAAAATACAGCTTTAGGTGTGAAAGTATTGTTACCCTTTAACATGTTGAGATTAAAATAGAGAAAGACCTAAGCTTGTACTTTTGTGATTGACACTTGCCTTGATAATTTAACCTTGTTCTGTATTTTTTTTTTTTTTTATCATTTATTAACAAATTTCTTTTTTCTTAAGGGAAGCCTCCAAAACCAAAGCAAAGTGAGTCACAATCCATAATGAATATTTGCCTTACCAGTCTACTTGGACTTCACTCATCAAGAAGAGGAAGAAAGTTATCTGCCTTCCTCCTCCTTGGTGCTTTCAGCTGTCGACTTTGAAATAAGTTTAAACAACACCTACTGAAAACAATAACCATTTAGTACAGAAACACACTCTACCAGGATTGGGTTCCCTGTATTGTTTCATCAAAACTGTTCTGAAGTGGATGGAAGTCTGATGAGACCAGCTTGTCCCTCCTGTGTGGGTGGGTTCTGGGGAGAGTTGCTATGATACAAAAACTGAAAGATGAAATCCATAAGGCCAGATGATGATATTTAACAGTGAAGGCTCCAGTGTGCTTTCCCATAGGCATTTCAACATCTAGATTTCTATGTAGTGTACCAATTCTATTTTTGCTTTGTCCCTATAATAATCTTAGTAATTTTGGTTTAAATTTGAGGACAGTTTAACTTGAGAATACCCTGAGTATGTGTAGTACTATTTGTCAAAATTGTATTTTTATCATTTAACATTTTACATGTTTAATTTGCCGGGTTGGGTAATACCAAGGGGATGATGCTGAAAACAAACAGATGTGAGGTTAGTAAAAATTACAAAGTGTAAGAACTTTTTAAAAAAATATATAGGAAGGTAGTTAACTGGCCCTAAAATGTTTTCTCAGAAGGTGCAGGTCTTACATCTGTCAGAAGAAACAGTGGAAGCTATTAGCTAACATTTTATACAGATCATATATTTCAGCTTAGTTACTGAAATTACTTGCCTTTTTCTGGTGTCATTAACATAATGGAGGTTTGTTCCCAGCCATTTTAGGCTGCCTATGACTTGAGCTCCTTTAAAGGATTCTAGAGACAACAAACTGACAACAAACTGAAAAGGGTGCGTGGTATCAACATAGAATACCCCCAAAGGAGTCTCTTCTTACCTCTAACCTTGTTTTTGAGATTAGTTGCCCTTATAGCTACTAGGGTTTTTTTTTGTTTTTTTTTTTTTAAGATCTACTTTTCCTTCTCTGTTTTATCCCTCACCTGATGAGAGTCTGGACATTTTTGGTAGAAAAAGATGGTCACAGTTCTCTAGTATAGGCAAACCTACCTCTATCACGGTGGAAGCCTGTGTGCTGAGGTTCCAGCCAATTTTTGAATGTTGGAGTAATTAAACAGTCCCACATTTCACAGAGTAGTTGTAATGATTAACAGTTTAGATATGCTGAGGAAATCTAATTGTGACCTTTGGAAAATAGCCCTGTCCTGAATACTGTGGTGGTATGCCTTGAGGGGGAAGCTAGAAAAACATTTTACTTTCCAGGTATATTTAAATTCTCTCCAAGCTTGCTTTATTGGGAACCACTAGAGTTTGGGTTCAAATATTATAAACAAATTACTCCAGATTTCTGAACTAAAAGGATCTATCGACATTTCTCAGAACAAACTGAAGAGAATCAGCTCAAATCAAAAAGTTTGACTAGTAGATGTTTCATTTGGGCCTTTTGAAAGGTCCTGATAGACAGCCCCCAATTTTATTGTGGCTCCCCAACCTTTGAGAAATGCCAATCAAGGTTTGGATGATCAATGTTGACCTATGCTAGAGCCCAGGTCTCAGTTCATTGCCATACCCCTGTTCACACCATCACACGGTATCTATTGTTTCACTTCTATGAAGGACTACTCGCATGTTTTTAGAAACCTGTTCTTTTCTTCATTTCTAAATGGAGAAATTGAAGTAAATTTTATATCCCATCAAAATTTATGCTTCTGTGCATAGGATAGTCTAGTTTATTAATCCATATATTAAATACATGAATAGAATTCTCAAACAATGGTTTGTAAGCCACCTATATGAGACTCCCCAGGAACTTGTCAGACCTACAGATTGTGCCCCTGCTCTACTAGGAGAATTTACCAGTATAGATTTGGGAGACCTGTGCTTTAAACACCCATCTTGTCTTTGGCTCTTGAGTTCTCTGTTTAAAAATGAGATAACTGTTTTGAAGTTACATGTGTATGTTTTTTCAGTTTCTTCTGCCTTTGTGAGGCTAAAATATGCTAACATTTTGGATTATAAAATAGAAAAAAAATTGCACTTAGAAGGATATGCCTCCAAAGGGCAGGATAGATGGGGTAAGCTACATAGTCCTGAGCAGAATAACATGTTCGGTATGGCTTCTGGGTGAGGGTGCCACAAATTTTGAATTAGGTTCAAAGAAAATTGTTCAAATGACATCAGTGCTAAGATCAGCTCTATGGGGAGGGTCACTGTCTAGATAAAAGTAAAAATAAGCTTTGTTGCTATAAGTTTTTTTTGTTTTTTTTTTGAGACAGAGCCTTGCTTTGTTGCCCAGGCTAGAGTGAGTGCCGTGGCATCAGCCTAGCTCACAGCAACCTCAAACTCCTGGGCTCAAGCAATCCTGCTTCCTCAGCTCCTGAGTAGCTGGGACTACAGGCATGCGCCACCATGCCCGGCTCATTTTTTCTATATATATTAGTTGGCCAATTAATTTTTTTCTATTTATAGTAGAGACGGGGTCTCGCTCTTCCTCAGGCTGGTTTCAAACTCCTGAGCTCAAGCAATCCGCCTGCCTTGTCCTCCCAGAGTGCTAGGATTATGGGCGTGAGCCATCACGCCTGCCCTGCCATAAGTTTTTATTCAAAAAATTTGAAGTTGATTTTATTGTTGCTTATCTCAGCAAATACATGTTTACAGCATCTTCTACCTTATTCCAGTCCCTCAATTCCCCCACTTTACTATGTGGAGGAAGGCTGGTCTCATTGAAAAGTAGTGGGATTGGAGGATTGATAAATACTGAAAATGCCTGTTGGACACACCTTTCAGCTTCCACTCACAGATCTCAATCCTTTTCTGCACTGAGAGGCAGCTATGGTATTTTCTGCAAGTAATAAGACATGACTCGATTGTCACGTGGGGCTAATTTTCAGTTTCAAATATTTACAGCCCTACTGGGAGGCAAACTTCTGACCCAAGTTGCTTGGACTACTTCAATGAATAAAACTGGGTAGTCAGCACAACTAGTGCCATCTACTGGGTGATTACTGCATAGTTTCTGTAATTTAGGAATCTGGCTTAGTTGAGACATGGGGAAAAAATTCTAGGATCATATTGAATAACAATTTTTGCCTGGTGATTTAAGCATGATATGGAAAATCATTAAGGAGTAATTGGGTCATTAGTTTATGAACAAGTAACACTCTGATATCAAAAGTAAATTTCAGTTTAAGCAGATTAAATCCGGAACTGCCCCTAAAGCTATAGAAAATATGGGAAAGGTTGCCAAAGTTTGTGTTCTCATATTTGTCAGTATTACTGGTGAGAAGGGTGAAAAATGCCTTTTGATGGTGTCTTGGTGAAAGCAATTGAAGTAGAACACGATGCTGCACTTACAACTTTCATTCCTCTACCCAGTGGTCTTTTCTAAAATCCTAGCCAAATGACTGCTGCTGTTCTTGCAGTTATGTGAGCTTTGGTGAAAAGAGCATGGTGTTGAGCTGATATCTTGGTTTGAGTCCTGGATCTGCTCTTTACTGGCTGTGTCCCCATGGGCCTCACTATAAAACAAGGCTAATGGGGTTATCTACTGGCAGTGAGTGTTAGGACTCCAAGCTAATGTGTGCAATTTAATACGTGCTCCATATCTAAAGCTCAACAAACATCAAGCCCTTTCTCCATCCAAAATGGAAATAAGACTACTAGTCATTTCTTCAATGCCACTATTAGAAAACAATCTATAATTTAAAATTTGAAATTAAGTAATTTATATGAATTATTACAATTTACATTTTTTAAAAACAAACTCAAGTTTTTACAGTCTTCTCTGGGCACAGGAAAGGACTTATGCTGACATTTTACCAGGATAGCATGTAGAGTTGAGTCTTCAAAGATCTGCTGGGCTAGCTGAGTTCCCTGAGCTGTTTTTCCATTCACCTCTGCCCAGAGGGTGGGGGCCTGATGATGAAAGTGCAGAGAAGAGGGAGGACTTTTGGGCCAAGGTTTCTGCAAGAGAGTATGTCAGTGGGCTAGGAGCAGGCAGAGGGTAGGTACGTTGGAAGGAATTTTCTGTTCCTAGTGACAGTGTAGGATTGCTGCACACCCGGAATTGCAGAGTAATTTGTTGACTTCTGATAACTAAAGCATTGGGTAACTTTTTCCAACATTTTATGAAAATTTTCAAACATACAGAGATGTTGAAAGAATTTTAGTGTAACCCTGTTTACTACCTAGATTTTGCCATTAACATTTGACTCTACTTATTCACATATCAATTTATCCTTTCCATTTAATCATTACTCCATTTTAAATACATTTCAAATAAACTACAGACATGAATACAATTTTCCCTTAATATTTCAACATGCCTATTCATTAGAATTCAATATTTTGCAGTTTTTGTTGTAAAATTTACAAAGAAATGTACAAACCATAGGTGTACATTTGCAACTTTTAACAAATGCATAACTAAGCCTACGTCACTCAAACACCTATCAAGATACAGAACATCTCCATCATTCTAGAAACTTCCCTCATGTGCCTTTCCAAGCTAATCCTGCTTTCCATGGCCCCAGCAGCCATCACCTCTTCTGCTATTTTAAAAACCATTCTTAGCTTAAGGGAAGCTTTCATATATGACAGGGCCATCTCTGGAGTTTACTATCTAGTTTTGTAACTCCAACTGTGCCGGAATATAGCCAAACCCAGCCCTGTATTTTTTATTCTGTCCTTTTGCTTCAGCTTAGCTCCAGCCTTCCCTTTTTTGTCTTCTCAAGATTTATACCTGGCATCCTAGATTTCTGGAGCAAAAAGTGCTGAAATGAAGACCAGCTGAGCAGAGTGTGCCTTCCCAGGACTGTGGCTGGAGGGAGTTGGCTACCTGGATAGGGACATCACTCCTTTGCCCTGAGCAGCTGTAAGCAAGAGAGGGGAGCCAGGGGCAGGCCGTGATCTGAAGTCCTCTGGGATGGCGTGTCAGGGGTGGGGGCCTTACTGGAACTTCAGTGTTTGCAGGACAGGTTCTTGGCTTTTCAGCAGATGTGAATTCTCAGACTCTCATTTTCTTAAAGTATGAGCTGACCTGAAGTGCCTTGTGCTATTTAGGATTTCGTCCTTCTCACAGGTTGTGCTTTAGAATTGTCATACCCAGAATGTATAAGTTACTTGTCAAGCAAAGACCCCACCACTCTTAGTCTACAGGGAAGCATCCCTGAATGAAACAGACTAAAATAATAGTTGTGTGTTCTTTCCCAATGCAAGTGCACACGCCCACATGTACACACACAACACATTACCATTGCCAACAGAGGTGTTTCTGCACTGAGCGCCACATTTGCCAGTCACATAATCAGGGTTTTCCTTCTCTTTTTTATTTGCTTAAGGATCCTCTCCTTCTACTTCTGTAGTGGGCTACCTATAATTTATTAAGCACTAACTATATGCCTAGTACTATGCTAATGAGTTACCTACATTACCTCATTAGCATAGCACCTAAAATGACCATGTGAAGGAGGTTTTGTTATCCTCACAAGGAAGATTGAGTAATTTGCCTGAGATCTTACAACTAGGAGGTGACAAAGTCCCGTATACCAAATCCTATACTTTTTGATTTTTAGAGACAGGGTCTCACTTTGTTGCCCAGGCTAGAGTTCAGTGGCAGAATCAAAGCTCACTGTAACCTCAAATTCCTGGGCTCAAGGCATCCTCCTGAGTAGCTGAGACTACAGGCATACACCACCATGCCTGGCTAATATTTTTAATTTTTTGTGGAGACTGGGGGGTAGAGAGGTCTTGCTATGTTGCCCCAGCTGGTCTCAAACTCCTGGCCTCAAAAAATCCTCCCAGCTCAGCCTCTCAAAGTGCTAGGATTACAGGTATAAGCCACCATGCCCGGCCCATAGCCTGTACTTTTAACTGCCAACACACTTCCTAGTGCTTGATAGAGGAGTGAGGATTGGAGTTGGTTTTAAAAGAATATAGGCAGAGGGGAAGATGAAGAACACAAATACAGAATTTGAATAATTCACATTTTTACTTGAGATTAGTCATATTTTAAATGTCAACTTAATACAGACCTAGTCAAAGAAATTTAGTCTACAATAAAAGTAGCATCTCAAATCAATAGGGAAAATATGAACTATTGGGTATTGGGATAACTGAATACTCTCCCTAACCCTTAAATAGTTAAAAAGAAAAAAAAGTATGAGTAAATTCTATTATTTAAAAGTGGAGAAAAATTTTCTAACAATGTCTCAAAAGAAAAAAATGGATTTCCTTTAATCCAGAAGCATTAAAGGAGAGATTGATGAATTTGACTACATTTACATGTTTAAAAAATAAAATGATAAACTGGAAAACATATGTATAATATCACTGACAAAGGGCTAATATTTCTAACATATAAATAGCTTATAAAACTAGAGAAGACAAACCACTTAATGGAAAAATGGACAAGCATTATGGACAGTTCACAGAAAAAAAATCAAATGGTCCTTAAACATATAAAAATATGCTCACCCTTACTCATAATGAGAGATTAAATTAGAATATCACTAAGATACCATTCTTCATTTTTAGATTAGAAAAAGTATGAAATGTAAAAACATACTCTCTTGGTGACACTATCAGGAAACAGAATTTTCATTAATAGTTAAAGAGAATGCAAAACTACGGAGAGGGATTTAACAATTTGACATTTGAATTTGCCCTCTGACCCAACAATCCCGATTTTAGGACTCTCCATGACAGAGGATTTGTGAATGGCTGGTAGCACACCCCTCCTTATGTGATGTCTTTGAGTCATCCTCCTTTTCCTTATTGACACTGGGTTTGTCCATGGGACAGTAGCAAAATTGATGCCTGCAAAAGATTAAAAAGTGCTTGTGTGTTGATTGGGACTTGCTCTCTCTTGATGTGCTTGGGGCCCCAAGGCTGCCCTGAGAGCAATGAACGAGTACCAGCCGGCCTCCTGGAGGATGAGAGGCCACTTGAGAAACCTTGGCTGACAGCCTGCCACCCACCGGGCATGTGAATGATCTCTCCTGGACTCTCCAGCTCCAGCTGAGATGCCAGCTGACTTCAGCCGCATGAGTGAGAACAGCAGAAGGACAGGGCTGTGTCCTGCCACAATTGCTGACCTACAGAATCTTGAACGAATAAATGATCGTTGCTTAGTTGCTTTACGCCACTAAGTTCTGAGGTAGTGTGCTATACATAGCAAAAGCTAACTGATACAAAACTAAAGATACAAAGGCGAAAATGCGAAAAGACATGTTCACTGAAGCATTGCCTA